TCGAACAAGCATAGTTACCCGAGTAGGGTGTGCTGCCAGGCGGCACTTCTCGAGTTGCAGGCGCAGCAGTTCGGGACAAGGTCCCAAGCGGGTGACAGTTGGATGCAACTGTGTTGCTGCCAAGTGACGCTGCTTCTGCAACTGCTGCCTCACGATGACTTCTTCTGGCTTCAGGTTGACGGCGCTGACAAGGTGAATGAGTCTTCCATCGGAGCTAGAAATCGTCAGAAGTCCAGATTTCCAGTTGCGTTTCCCGTTTGATGCCGACCCCCGTTTTCAGTTTGGTTCCGACGTAGGGTGCTAAACAATGGCGGTGCTCTACAATCATCCGAGGAGGCATGGTGTAGGATGGGCCGGGTTTGCAAGATGCGAATCTGATCATTCGAGCAGAGATGGTGCTCTCGACGAGCAACCTTTTCAACTCTGCGCCCGAAATGCTCCCGGGTCCACGACCAAGTCGCGAGACCGTGTGACATCATGTGACCAACCGTCAAAAAAGAGCGGCGCAGGTTTCAGAGTGCGGGAGATTCAGAAGCCCGGCGTGCGCAGGTTGCACGTCGGCGGAGCGCGGACGGCTCTCTTCAACTGGCTCTTTGCTAAGTCCCAGGGCGGCGAGCTGATCCTCCGAGTCGAGGCCGAGTAACCCGCCTCCCTGTCTCCCCCCTCCCAAAAGGATCAAAAGGTAAGACTTACCAAAGACAGGGATGCTGCAAAGGGCGACTGAAAAAAAGGCATAGGATTTCGGAGCACGGGGACGAGGCCCCCTGGTTGCTTCTATATGGGAGCCTTTTTGAGCTCTGTAGCAGGACACGGATGTCGCCAGATCGACGAAGGAGTCCGAAGATGCGATCCTGGAGGCCCCTGGGCCTCGGGCTGAAGCTGTGACCTGGAGCGAGTCTCCGGCTTTTTTGCAGGGCCTGAAATGGTGCGGTATCTCCTGGGATGAGGGCCCGGATGTGGGTGGCGAACACGGGCCATATCGGCAATCCGAGCGCATTAAGGCCAGATGTCATGAGATGTTTGCCGTGCAACGTAGATTCTCAGGGCTTCGGGTCTCGAGCCTCGAGAGTCTAGGCTGGCATCTACGAGAAGCAGCTGGAAAAGCTCATGGCAGAAGGTCATGCCTACAGATGTTTCCTGACACCAGAGGCCGCTTGCATTTCTCGATGTGACGATCTCACGAGCTTCTGGGTGCACGAGTGCACGAGGAGCTTGATGAGATGCGAGCCGAAGCTGAAAGAAACGAGCAGGTTGGAAGCTTGGAACATCTTGGAACTGGGCTGCCCAAAGTGCTTTGCCTGCAGGCCTTCGTGGTGCAGAGCCCCTGGGCAAATGCGTCTGAAGAGGAAGTGCAGGCGGTGACTGCTCAACCAGCTGAGATGTTGTCTTGTGCCTCAGTTGCGAATTGACAGGCCATGATCGACGAGGGCAAACCCTACGTGTACAGATTCCGAGTCCCTTTTGACAGGCCTCGAAGCTTCCAGCCCTCCCTCCCTGCCGGCGCAGCCCATCACCGCAGGGAAATCGTGGTAGATGATCTGGTGCTTGGTGAGGCCGGGAGAGCCAGCAGATAGCCCAAAGCACTGAGAAGCAGCTCTGCCGAGAGTCCGATGCTAAGGTCATCTGGAACTCTGACGATCTCGGCGGCGACTTCGTCATTGTCCGTCAGAACGGCTTGGCGCCAAGCACTACGTGATGCTGAGCGGCTGGTGGCCTCGGCCCCATCGTACCGAGGAATGCCCATGTACAATTTTGGCGTCGTCACCGACGATGCTTCCATGGGCATCACCCACGTGTTGAGAGCCCAGGACGACTAAGCTTGGGCATCTCCAAAAATCGGGTCGGATTGGTGGGCCTGTAGATTCACAGCCACCTGCGAGGAGCACCTGATGAACACGCCACGGCAGATTTTGATGTACGAAGCTCTGGGCCTCAAGGTGGCCTCGGGAGACGAGCTTGCGTGTGGAGTCGGCAATGCCTGCAGTGTAAGCAATCGCAGGTGCCCACCTTTGGTCACATGCCGTTGATCCTGGCGCCGGACATCTTACACATATGTCATACATGCTTGCGCACTTCATTGCAGTCGTGAAGCTGATTCCGTCCTTTTTTGTCTTTGCTTCGGATCTGTCCGGAAAATGACAGCTCCCATGTCTCTGACCAGGACCGCACCAAGCTGTCGAAGCGACACGGCGCCGTTTCAGTCGGCGAGCCTGATCCTAAAATGAGCTTTCCGGTGGAACCTCTCGTCTTTAACATGCCCCCTCTTTGTGGGGTGATGCGCGTCTCCCAGGTATCAGAAGCGAGGATACCTACCTTCTGGCCTGGCCAAAACCTTGGTTGCCCCGACTTCGATTCTTGCCCCTACTCGATTTTCGGAACTCCACCTGCTCAGGGTGGGATCTTGAATAAGCAAATCCGCCAACAGCTGCCCTTTTCCGCTTGTTGTGCCACTGTTCTGATTCTTGCAGCATGATCATGTTTTTGAAAAAATGCTTCCCATAGCGTGCTGCGCGGTCAGTCGTGACTCCGTTGCGTAACCATGATTTGTGCTGGGCAGATGATACTCTTCCGCACACTAGGGCGACCATTCGAGATGGTCTAGCATTTTCTTGAAGTCTACGAACGAAATGCAGTTTATCGGCTGTTCTATGGGGAAAGGCAACAGACAAACCGAATGCGTCAGGGCTTTCTATGTGGCGGCAGGATCTGAGATTGTTTCGTGCTTTCGATGGTCTTTAGTTCAGATAGCGCACCTGGAAATTGGACGGCAGTGGCTTTGCAAGATTCGGGCTTAAGAAGACTTTCGCCGACATGGTGCGAACGTCGAAGCGCACGCTCGGCCTCGTCTTAAACACAGTCGGACATAGAAGCGTTAAAGCAATGTCATTCGCGGAGGCACAGCTTGTCCGGAGTTCAGGGTGCCGTTGATTTCGTCTAGTTGACGACAAGTGAAAGGTGAATTATCTGGCTCAGCTGGGATGGAACGACGGGACCAAGCAGGCTTGCACGGAGAGGGGCCGCCTTTTTGTTCCGCTTCGGTGATTCTCCTCAGGAGATCTACACGATCGAGGAGCTGCTCGAGGCCTTCAAGATGGAGCGCATGAGCAAGGCCTTGGCTGGCCCACAGATGGAAGAGAGCCGAGAAGAGAAGGGGAAAGGCCAGAAGTCATGACTTGTGGGCTCCGGAAGAGGTAGCAGCCATCTTTGACACGGACAAGTTCAAGTGGGTGAACGGCCATCATGTGCGGCGGCTGAGCGACGAGGAGGCTGCAAGAATCCCGAAGCCATTATATACTACAAGCCATAACATACTATCATATACTGTAAGATACTTTATAGACTATAATATAATCCAGCTGTACTGTGCGCCTCTGTTTGCAACTCGAACTTGGCGAGGCCTTGGAGCAGATAGGAGCCCGATTGAAGGACCAGGGCCTCGTGAAAGAGGCCGACGTCGAAGCGCTTTAGGGGTTTAGGGTTTGGGTTGGGGTTCTAGGGTTTTAGGGTTTTAGGGTTTCAGGGTTTTGGTGTTTAGGGTTAGGGTAAATTTTTAAGGTTCAGGGATTGGGGGTTTAGGGTGCCAAAACCTGAACCCTAAAGCCGAACAGCTGCTCCTCCCCTTGTTTCACCGGACTCGCTTCAGGTCTCCGGCGACTTCGTGAAAAAGGCCTCGCAGTTGCGCCGTGCTCGGAGATGACTTATGCATCACACAAACATGTATATATATGTATATATATATATATATGTATATATAGATATAGATATAGATATAGATATAGATATAGATATAGATAGATATATATATATATATATATTAATATAGATATAGATATAGATATAGATATAGATATAGATATAGATATAGATATAGATAGATAGATAGGGTAGATAGATAGATAGATATCCCTCCCACAGACTCCCACAGAACCTCGAGATGGCAAACAAACGGAGACTGCCAAGCAGGATTGAGACACAAAGCGAGGCTGATATCAGTGAATCACACTAGATCAGCTCATCCACGGCAGTAGTAATAATCCTGGTGGGTTTTTCGTCGTACTATCAGATGCCATGTGAGGCTATGGCTAGTCAAGCTAATAAGCGATGACTGGTACTCATACCGGTCAGGTTCAATACAGTCGAACTAGTAGCAAAACTTATACTTGTGCTTGTTACTGCTAGCAATGCCTGCTAGCATACATATGTTGGTGGCATTAGCAAACGTAGTTAGTTGCGTAACCTCGGTCAGAACAGTAATATTAGTCAGTCATACCGTCACATATGTTTAACACCAGCATAAGGAAGCTCATATACATACCATGCCAGGCATGCACGTAGTAGACAGTCAAGATGCAGTTATGGTCTTTGAATCTGTTGGCATTTCCGTCTACATACCTATCTATCCTGAATCAAGGACACCGAGTTTCCGCTAAATGGCACCTCTTGGAAATGTGGGGTTCTTCTTCGTTATCAAAACAAAAATAACAGCTCTCCTGTTTTGGATGGTGTTTCAATCCACGACATAAGAAAGCTGTCCTGTCTCTGATTTCGAAATCACAGATGAGTTGTTTTCTGTCTCAGCGTACGATATCAAGCTAAGTGAACTTTGCCGGCACTTGATAAGACATTGCCAGCTACATACCCCTCCAGTAGGACATAGCATCCTAATGTTGGTTCGTCCAAGTTGTGTAGGTGAAGGCTTACGTACATTGGAGAAGTTCGCATGTTTTGGTGCTCTTGTGGACTTTTTTTGCGTTTTGGCCTCTTAATGTAAACTGAAGGACCTCCTTTACATCAAGGGAGGGAGCTCCTAATAAACGTAGCTGCAGTAGAGTTAGCAGAAGTCTTTTTGGTTTCCTGCGGTATCAGGCTCTTACCAATCTGGAATGCTTTAAAACGATGTATGACTAACAGAGCCTTTACGATCGCCGCGCCGCAACCAACCATGAAGAGTATCTCAACCTCGCGAAAACGCATACTGATGTTCCCTACTGTTTATGTTTTCTTGCCAACAGGGAACACAAATCCTGCAGTTGCGGTGTCTGAAGTTTCTGCGCATTGCTCCTGTTGCATTCGCCGACTTGTTGTCACATCTGCATCTTTTTTCTTCCGTGACAAGAACGAGACATGATATCGATTTGCTACCTTTCGACATGCAAGTAGTATCCCAACGGTCCCAGCAGGCAAGATAGGTCTTCGGCAAAGACACTGTGTGCATGGGTTCGTGGTTCAAAACAAAGCAAACTTCTGATCATGGTGGGGCACAACTCATACATCATGCAACATGTGCAATATATGCAGCGCAATGGACACCGTAGTATTAGATCATGGAGAACATACTATTGTGATGCAATAAATCTAGCTCAGCAGACTGCAGTCAATTCAGTGCACATGCCGTAGACATAGCTTCAAGGTATCATGCAGTCTAGCACACCATGATATTGCATAGCATCTTGTAACTTTGTATATGGCACGATACGATCTGAGACAAAGCAGTGAGTGTTCTCGTGATGCCGTATCGTATGCACAGCGCTTTATGTTATAGGCGATCATCTCATAAATGTCATCAGATTAGACCTGGACCTGATCTTATGATATTTAGCTATATCTTGCTGTATTTTGCGCATTGCACTGTACATTTGATCCATTCCTCTCTACTTGCTTCGTTGCCTGCGTTGTCTGCGGGCAGACTTGAGGCTCAGAGACCGAATTAGCACCCTCGAAGATGCCGTCGAGGCCTTCCTGAGCCGCGAAGCATCGCGAAGCCGAGCTGAGAGATTGGGATGAGCATTGGGATGATTGATTGTCAGGAGCTGACTGCCATGCTCGAGTTTGATCTGGAGGCGTGCATTGGCCCCGGCTTGCACAGATCTGCTTGATCGCTCTGACAGGGAATGATGGCGAAGGAGGTGGCTAAGCCGTACATAGAGGCTAGGGTGGCTAGGATGGCTCGGGAGCTGGACAGCGGCAACTTCAGGACGGCTCGCTCAATGAGACCGCGCGGCTGCTCTTGAAAGCGAAGGCTTCCTGCAACTAGAAGAAGTTATGAGCCATTTTCAGCACATGAGCAAAGTCGCGGTATGTGCCAACCATAGACAACGTGCAGCAAAGACGGTCAGGAGCAGGGCGACTTTGATGACATTGGGAAGGATCCACAGGCTGCAGCTGTCGATGTCGATACGCAAAAAAACGCTTGTGCAAGAAGAGTGGCAGGTGATGAAGAAGATTGCAAAGCAGATCAGCGAGGCGGTTTCAAACCAATCAGCTAACGGCTTACACCAGTTGGGCCACACTTCTTCAGAATGGTCAGAAAGAAGCAACATGAGCCAATGAGCAAAGCTTCGGACAATTGGGCCTTGCCTCCGTTCTGGCCAGAAGACCATTAGTAGTGAGGCAATTGGTGGTGATGATCCTGTCCGTGCCTATGGACTGGTGATGGGGGTTGGTTCTGGTCTTGATGGCATGGGTGATGGCGACGATGATGAGACTGGCACGAACACGAGTTAGAAAGACAACCTGTGGCAGAAACAACAAACAGAAATGGTGGTGGTGATGGTGGTGGTGGTGGTGGGCGGCGGTGGTGGTGTAGAAGTAGAAGTGCGTAGTAGTTGTGGTCGTCGTCGCCGCCGGCGGCGGCATCGTAGTAGTAGTAGTGGCAGGGGAGTGGCAGGGGAGTAGGAGGTTGGTCATGCTGGCCGTTCGGCTTTGCTTGCAGGCTCGTGGAGGTGTGAAGAAGAAAGCCCTCCTTGTCCCTCTTCGCTCGCGCCTCATGTGCATGTGATGGTTTGGTGCAATCCGCAGAGGGTGGGCAACGCTCGAGGACAGATCAGACCATTTCTGCATGGAAGTGAGTAATTCGATGCCAAGTTCGAGTCGATTAGTAGAGAACGCAGAAAAACTGAGCAAAGCATCGGCAAAAGCTTCGCTTGTGTCGACTCCCAGGGCTGTGCCTGACCTCCTCGGCTCAAGGCTGGGTCGGCTGGGTTCGACAGGCACAAGGGAAAGTGTTTCCCCTGTTTCCAGGTCCGGACATGAGTGTCTTCTTCGAGATGCTGCAGGAAGTTGATGACAACGTGCTCTGCAAGTGTGTCCGAAGCTGTGTCGCCGTTCAGGGGGCAGCTGTCGACTCTTGCACAGACTTAGTGGGACAAGGTCTCCTTGGATGAGCGGCTTGACATGCTGAAAGAGAAGCCGTGGCCCCAGACTTTCGATGCAAGGACAGGACTTGCCGAGGCTTTCTGAGCACCATCAATCCGTGCCGTATTCAGTGAGAAGGTAGTTTTTGACACAGTTTGAAGTCTGGGATCTGCATACTCGAACCGGTACTCGGTTTTTGTTGTGTCTGATGATGGCAATCACTGGTAACGACAGTTTGCCTTTGGGCAGTCAGGTTCTCGCAGAGGCAGCCTCATATCAGTTCTGTGAACACTGGCAGGAAAGTTGACCCTGAGGAACCGAGGGCCTGCTGGCAAATTCGGGAAGGGTGAAACTCTCGAACATGTGCCCTGAGCCCCCTATCATGGGAATGCCTTCGGCCAAGGTTCGTGGACCAGCCTGTGCCATGTTGCCTCCCGAAATGGCACTTCGTGTTGACAGCTTGTAGAGATTTATTAACTTGCTCGTGTGCCGAGGTTAAGTCGCTCATAGATGCTGGTGAACTCGCTGGTGTCTCCACTTAGACATGCGTGCAAAGAGAGCACACTGCTCTCAGTCTCACTTGCCTCCGGCATCATAGCCAGGCCAATTTTTTCTCAGAGTTAAGCATAGTAAATGAGCAGCCGTCGGATAGAAGGAGTAGTCCATTTTTAACATGGCTGAGCTGCACTACGCTCTACAGCCCTTCTTCGCAACCGATGGGCACACTGCCTCCGAAACGTTTGGCAGGATTGGTCGCGAGCATTCCGAGGAAAAAAGCTTGCAAAGGCCTCCCTGTGAGAGTCAACCTGCTGGATTCCGCTCAGAGGCACCATTCTGATCATCTGAGCCTTTTGCATGAACTCTCTGAAATGGACGAGCATTTTCCCTCGCAGGCTTTCCGGCCTAACCAACTAGGGAAGAGGTACCTCTCGATATAGGACTGATAGCATGCAGTTCCATCGTGCAATGAGTTTGAAGCCCTCAAATTTCGCAGTACTGAGCTCGCTCATGGCTGCGGCAAGCCGTGTCAGCGGCATGGACGATCAAAGAGGCTGTGCCTGATCTGTGAACACAGTGTCACCTAGTTTGTTGTTTTTTCCCTAGGCCCGCGTGGAGGCCTTTGACATGCTCAGGCTGCCATGTGTAAGTCAAGCAAGCAGAGCCAAACTCATCAGAGCAATCGAGACGTAGGAAAGCGGTGCCTCAAGATGCGCCACTCCCTTGGGCATCTTTCTGACAACGGGTCGAGCTTTCTGGAGCCTGAGCTGAGGCCGGAGATCGTACGCGTGTACCTCGCGACTTGGCGCTCACACGGCTCGGTTTTGCTGAGGAGCAACGTGGGGGGCATCATCGTGGGATCTTCTTTTGTCCCCGGCCATCTTTGGCTGCCTCGGCACGCGTGGAAGGACCGGCGAGCCTGCCACGGCGTCTACACTGGACGACGAGGTGGAGATGTCGAGTCACGGTAGAAGGTTGCTGGTGCTCGACCTTTCTGTGGGCACAGGCGCAGCAACAACAGCTGAAACGCCCGTGCCTCAAAGTGGTTGGGGGAAGGGCGAAAGTGGGTTTCGGGGCTCCAAGGCTTCACTTCCTTCCTGGAGTCAGGGCAGCGCCACTTCGCAGGGCTCCGAGCTCCGAACCTGCGCTGCAACTTTGCTTGTGCTTGGTTTAGAAGATGCTCAGATTGTCGCTGAAGATGACGGTGCGGCGAGACAGCTGCGCCCTTGGAAGACCACGGCATGAGCTGCAGTTTCCGAGTGCCGGCCCCAGTCTCAGGCAGCGCCTGAGTGCCTTCATCAGCTTCGGGCGGGGCGCTCTGTTCTTGCTACTTCCCTTAAAATCCATACTGTAATTACGAGCAAAAACTTGTGTACTACTGCCTTGCTTCTATCCGGAAAGACTTTTCTGTCAGGCCGAGCTACACTCGCGATGGCTTTGGAGAGGCCAAAGAAATGCATAGAGGGCCAGGCCCTGGAGTTGAGATTTTGAGACATCCGGCAGGTCATGCAGCTTTTCGTGCATCCTGACTTTCAACGCCGTGGCCTGGGTAGCAAACTCCTGCAAGCAGCGTGCGAGACCTGGAAGACGTCAGAAGACCATGAGCACCGGCCCCATGTAGCTGACCTCGAAGAGGTGGCTTGAGCTTCGTGATCGGACGTGGTCCAAGATGGGCTGCCATGTTTGGTCCGACGCTTTGGCACCTTGGCTGGCAGCTGTAAGGATTCTGCAAAAATGCAGGTGCACGAAAGGCAATCCTGCCAACCGTGTCTACGAGCAGGCACCAATGCCATTCTGAGCTCGAAACTCGAAAGCCCAGTGATCCACCCAAGGCGGGCTGGTTCCCTACTGGCCGGCAGAAGAGCGCGGCGCCTTTTCGTGTCCGTTCTGTTGCTCTTGTTTCAATAGCTGCTTCTTGTTGACCTCCCTTGGCCGGTTAGGTCTGAAGCCAAGCCTCAGCAAGGATCCCGTCGTCCGAAGCCCAGGGGCCGCAGAGACGAGGCTTAGTACCACTTTTCGCCCCCCAGGAGGTGGAGGAGTTTCAAGCGCCGCAGGCGAAAGGCCCGAACAGCTGGCAGAGCTGGCGTGGCCCCAGGCAGCCTCAGGGAGACATGGGTGCCGGATGTCATCTTTTTCCGGTGTCGCCAGGTTTCTTCTTGGGTCGGAGGCCCTGTGTGGACAGGGACTTGTGGGGAAACCAGTTTTTGTTGGGCTTGTGCAAACCCAGGTTAGCCGCAGGGATCCTTGTCGGCGCCGTCATGAAGGCAGTCATCGGGCTGCTCGCCGTGCCAGAGATTCTAGATCCATGTGCAGGCAGCCCTTTTGCGTCCAGCTCTTACAGTGCTTACAGATGCGTTGCCTCCCCCAAAGCACTGGACGGCATCTTGCGGGACTGTCGGATGGCATTGCTGTCTGCTGGTGACAATACGTGGCGATATCAGCATGCAATAGTGACAATAGTGCAGACTCTCTCTGATTGGCTTTCTTAGGTGGACGAAGCTCTTGAAGGACGATCGCGGCATGCTGCTGCAGCAGTGACGGCGGCACCTGGCGATGGAGCAGCTTGGATTTCACGACCTCGCTACAGAACTCTGCCGCACGGACAAGCTCGTCGGGCACCTGTCCAACCTCTGGCGTCTTCCTGGGTCTGATCCCGCCAATAAGCCACGCCGGCAGGAAAAGAGACTTGCATAGCGGCGCACAGCTCTGTGTTGCATGGCTGTTGAAGGCTGTAAAGATCCGGATCCGATGCACACTGCGCTCAAGAATTTGTTGAAACACATCTTGGTTGCCGATCGACTGGAATGGAACCTACTTGTTTTGCAGATGCTTGATGCAGATGGTCACGTCGAGTCTGTTACTTGTAGAGTCCTTGTTGAATGGTTCCATGATGTTCCAAGTGCGAAAGGCTAAGCGGGAAGGTCGTGTTCTGAGCGGCGTCGAGCCATGACGGACTGCGCTACATTTCCAGGCCCGGGATCCGACTCAATGCTGAAAGGCCTGGCTACATCGTCTGCAAAGCTCCAACGGTCGAGCCTTCATGCTATGGAGTGCGTCCAACCGTCCAGGTGCCGTTGGTCCTTCGTCCGACATGGCGGACACAAGCTTCGCTTTGCCTCGACTCTGCTCAGCGCCACGGCGCCCCGGGCGGTCCGGGCGCCCGGAGACTGCGCGGCCAGCTGCCGAGCGCTTTCACCCATCGAGCTCCGTTGCAGGCATGGGGGCTGAGCGGTTCATTCCTCGACGCTAAGCACTGCTTTGCACTTCGTGGCAGGTCTGTGCCTAGGAGCTGCTGGAGTCGCCGCACAACGTCGCTGCCCCAGCTTCCTCTGTCGCGTTGAGCCCGATTCGACGCACTTTAACTTTCAGGTGGCCGTCGCGTGCTGCAGAGGCGGCGTGTGGCTTGGCATTGGTTGTTCAACATCGGAGATTTTCCGCCCCATCTCTCCATTCGTTGACGGAATATGGCCGAGGGCGAGATTGAAAGAGACCTCAAAGCGACTATAGCGACTACTCAGACTACCTGATCTCAGGACTCGCAGGTTCACCCGCGATCGCGAAGCATACTGTCGGCCGGCCCTGCAGCTGCAATCACTACTGATTCTACTGGTAGCGCAGATTTTCAGAGAGATCTGCAGATCTGCTAGGAATTCTGCAGAGGTATGCTGCCCGAGGGCCCATTGGTGAAAGAAAAGCGGGGTGCAGGCTCGGGAAGGCCTGTGGATGCGAAGAAAGACTCGAGAGCGCAAGAATCACGCAAGCGAGCGGACAAGTCGCTTCTAGTTTTGGGGAGTGAGGCTCGGCTATTCCCAGAAGTATGCAGAGGAGGACGACGACGAGGTGGGGTTACGGCGACCAGCGATCTCTGCGGCTGTCCAGTCGCTTTGCTACAGGAAGAAGGGCCAATGACAACCATCCTTGACTTCAACAACACTGAGGAGCGCCTCGAAAGAATCAAGGACTGGAGCTCTAGAATTCTGCCCTGGAAGCCAAGAGCGCTGCGATGACGGGCCAGCGAGGATGTGACACGAACACCTGTCACGCTGCTGACTGGCTTTCTAGGCTCAGGATCGCCCCTTTGATCGCAGTGTTGGCTTGCCGGACATGTTGGTCTCTCTGAGAGCACGAGCGGGCAGGAAAGACCTCACTGCTCAAGCACATACTCGAGAATCAAGAGGGTGTCCGTCCGGAGCCCAGCCAGACGAGGGTCCGATGCCTGTGGCAGTAGCATGCAGTAGCATGCACTGAGGAATCGGAGTTGTCGTCAACGACGTCGCCGCTGTAAACATTGATGCTCAGTTGATCCAGAGGCTGGATCTGGGTTCATGTTCTGTCGGTACATGATCGCGGCTGAGAATGTGATATGCTAGGTACGAGAAGCACGGCGCCATTGAGATTGCGGAGCTTGCTAATGGATGTGCAGAGACCTGATCGGCTTCTTGGCAACATCTTCTTGTTTTGGTCGCCCGCCCTGAGGTTTGCTGCACAGCATCTGATGATCTGGTGGCATCAGTACAGGAGCTGGTGAACAGGTGTTACGGAAGGCCCCTGCAAGTACGGTCGGAATGAGAAAGAAGTCGATGTTGGCGCCGTTCCTGTTGATGTCTCTGCATGGGGTGCCTTCCCAGTTTCGAGTTCAGACATAAAGAAGTGCTGGGAAGACTTATTGTGGACAGTGGGCAGACATGAGTGTCGCATCCGCAGGCCGTTCCATCATGTGGTGATCGAAATGAGCGGTGTGGGTGAGCTGGCATCCGAGAGTCCTCCGTGTACCCAGAACAAGCGAGACTCGGAATTTTTGCACAGCCAAGCACCTGGGGACATGTCCGGAGGCCAGAAGCCATCAGGCGGCACTGGGACATTGGCGTGGAAGTGGGTCACCGACCTCAGACCGATGAGTGCGGATGTGGCTCGCAGTTTGCCGACCTGTTCTCAGGCATGCCTGCCACTTTGCTCACAGAGATCAAGCGGACGATCGCAGTGGTGGATGCCAGTCTCTTTGGGAACGACTGGATCGACAGCCGAAAGGCCTTGCTCTACGTCGGATCCTGGGCCGTCCAGCGACAGAGTCAGAGCCATGCCTCGAGGCGTCTGCAAGGAACGAGCAAGGCATGCCGCTGCCACACAAGGGTGGGACTCGAGCGTGAAAACTCTCGACAGATGCAAGCTCGGAATGCCGAGGCTTCGAGACGGTTGGCCAGCTTCTAGCTGAGCAGGTCGAAAAAGCAGATCTCGTGCACCAAGCTCAGAGACCGGTTCAAGGCGTCTCTGACAACGGCGCTCGGGACGGGTGAGGCTGATGAACAAGATCGATCTGGCCAGTGATGAGGAAGCAAAGACCAGCGAAGAGGCTCGTCGGGAAACCCTTGCTCTTCGCGGCTTTCGGCACAAGCCAGACTTGACTTGCTGTTGTGATGAGGTGCTGAGGGCAATCAATGGCGATGCTGATGTGATTCGATGCAGCTATGGCAAGGCCAAATTTTGCGCTCGCAGGTGTGTCACGTGCGGCTTACGGCAAGAGTCGTTGCAGGTGAGCCCCATCGAACTGCTCCCAGAGATCCCTGAGGGGATCAAGTATCCCGAGTTCGGACGAGGACTTTGAAGGGCGGCGATTATGGAAAGTACCATGCGCGGTAGACGAGCAAGTCCTGCCGACTCACGTCCACGAGAGCATCTGCTCACAGCTTTCCTGACTCTGAATGTTTTGTCCGTTGGAAGAGCTTTGCTCAGGTTGCCGATTTTCTTGTGTAAGCTTCTCTGTAGGTGTGGGTCCGATGTGGTCTCGGAGCCTAGCAGCTCCAGCTCCACACCCTCGAAATGTGAAGTTTAACTCCCTCCGAGTTCTCGCTCTCCTCAAGCTTTGTACGAGTTCTAGCTCCTATCCAGACATGAATTGGACAGGACGAAACTACCGGTGGGCACAGAACCCTCAAGTTCTGCAGCTTCGTGTCAAGGCCCCTCCTCACTGTCCAGCATGTTATCTTCCACTGCAGCACTGCCAGGTTCCTGCCGACGCCAAGTCGAAGGACATCAACTTTGACATCGGCCGAACTTGGCTACAGATATGGGTGAGCAGTGGGACCATGCAGCCACATCCAAGATGTTGTCGATTTCTGTCGGAAGGTGCAGGGCGAGCAGGTGCCTCGACTACAAGGAAAGCTCTTCGGTCGGCTGAAGGCGTCGAACAGCCAGCAGCGGCAGTTTCGAACATGATGCCACAGCTTTAGCAACTTTAGCGAGACGCCTCGTCCAGAGCAAAAACGAAGGAGCAGCTCGCTGCTTGAAGGGCATCCAGCACAGTAGTTGCGGCGCATAGTGGGGTTATTCCGGGTTGTTCCGAATGGAACTGAAAAATCTCCAAACTGGGGCCTGAAGCTGCCGCGCCCGATACCCTATCGAAGTTCAGCCATTGAATTTCGGCCCCCAAACTCGTGGTAGAGAGCAGGGCCAGAGTCGACTTGCACACGGGTGGCAAGAGGAGCCGCAGCTCTCTTGTGGGAGCTTCGATGCAATGTCTCAAGAGGTCCTGAAGGTTAGTCAGAGCTGCGGCAAAACGAAGCCATCGTCGCATTGATGAGAACTTAAGCTAGTCAGATATGTCCGTCATTGTCAGAGGGTTGGCCTTTCCTAAACCGCATCCGAAAATGGCAGGGGATCGAGGAATGGATTTGGGAGCTGGATGGCGAAGGCAGGAGACCGAGAGTTGCAATGCAATGCCCTGCAATGCAAGATACAAGGTTTAATGCCGCTTCGCTGTTTTGGCATGCAGCCTGTCTGCTGTATTTTACATCGGGTATCCCACATTTCTCTCGGCTCGGCGCTGAAGGAGTTCAGAAGTTGTGAGCAGGGAGTCCCTTCACAAGATCGGCCGTGCCGGCCCGCGAGGCGATGATCGTCACGTCGCGGTGTTTCTGGAGAAGAGCCAGGAGGCCATCTCCCACCTTGTGCAGCGTTTTTTGTGTGTGGGTGAGGGGGATGACCCGAGCAGGGCATGTGGGAGGACATCTGGCAGAAAGACCTGCCCGATCAGCCGGCGCAGTGTTCCAAGCGATCGGATGAGCGCGAGGGGTCTGTAGAGGAAAGATGAGGAAAGTGTAGTAGTGTAGTGGAGTCTAGTGAGTCTAGTCGTAGCGAAAGGCAAGAGCACGAGCCCGTGGCGGCGGCAGAGGATCTCTCGGAGGGCGGCCCCGTGTTGGCCCGCGGAGGTGGGCATTTTTGAAAGTCGGCTTGAGCATGCGTGAGCTGAGAGTTGGGCCGAGGCGCCCATAACGGCCGGGGCAAGCAACGCCTTTTTGGGAGGCTCTTGCAGAATCGGTCAGCCGGGAACCGATGAACATTGATCTTTACAGGAACGGACGGGCAGCTGGCAGAAGATTTGGTTTCGAACCTACAAGTTTCCCTCTCCCAAGGTGTTTTAGACATCGATCTCTGTGTTTTGGCTACGAGAGTTGCAGAATTCCCCGAGGCATCCGAACCTTCACTTACGAGCGCCGCAGGCCTTTCAGCGCGGTTCGCCTGCAGAGGCCCAGAGAGCCCTTCTGGGTATGGTTCTCTAAGAATTAGGGTCCCGTCCCTTTTAGGGACCCAAACAGGGGGACCCTACTTTAGAGAACTAGCCTTATGTGATTCGGCAAAGCATCCGGACAGGTTGATCGAAGAGTGGCCCTTGCCACGGAAGAAGCAGGCTTTCGGATTAGAGGAGCTGGAGGCCGCATGGGGGAGGGTCCGGAGGGGCGGTTTTCGACTGTGGGGAAGCCGAGGTGGATGCAGAAGTCGAGGGCCTTCAGGTCCCTTTTGTCTTCGTTGCGTTATGTGCTGAAATCTCAAAAAATGCAGAAGGCGCTGAAGCCCATTCTGCGGTCCAAAGGGTTCTGCTGGGTGGACTCCGAGCCTTTTCGGGCATCTGCCTTGTTTCTTCGAGCCCAGGGGGATACTTTCTTCACCCAGAACGCCCTGAGGTCAACGAGTGGTCTCATGCGGGCAGGTCTCTGTCGGTGCTTCCAAAGGCAAGCAGGGGGTCGGCAACAGCATTTGACACAGAGGGTCTGACGACAGTTGGAGGACTGGTGGTGGGCTGTCTTGAAGCCGGACCAGTTGAACTTCCAAGTATGTCTTTCGCTTGTTGAAGGGGGCAACATGCAGGCCCCCCCGCCCGAGGTTTTCCGTCCCTGCTGCTGTCTCATCAGGTTACCCCGGTGCGAAGGCGCAGTTTGAGCGAGCGCGCCGGGAGAAGTGGCAGGCTTGTTTGCTCCTGGAGCGCAAGCCCTGCGCTGCCTTGCAGCTTTTGAGACGTCGTGCAGGAAGAGTGGGGGGACCGACGGCAAGAGCTTGTCTTTATCGGTGGGCCGGACATGCGCGAGCAGCGCATTTCCAAGCACCGATCCTAGGTCTCCGAGCTCCCCAGAGATTGGGAGCTCCCGTAGATTATTTGACGCTGAGGATTCTGGACAGCTGCTTGCTCCGGGACTCCGAGCTGGAGCAGTTCAGAGAAAGCGCAGCCATCGCAATTTTTCGAGCGTAACGGTTCAACTCGCAGTCAACTCCTGGAAGGCACGGCAGAGACGTATCCACCTGATACCTACTTCGGGGTCGAGGCCAGAATACTCTGAATGCATGTCTAGACATACGTAGGCCAGCAGTAGCCACTGGTCAGACTTCTGTGAGGGCCTACTTCGCCAAATGGGGGAGGACCCCGCAGCTTTCGCGGAAGGCACCGGCTGCAGAGTGATTCGGAGCCTTGCGGCCATGTTCGCTTTGTGGCAGGTTCCCAGTCAAGTTCCCAGGCAGAGGTCCTCAATGGCTCCAGCGATGCATGGGCCTCAGCCACGTAGAAGAGGTCCCTCGGTTCTTTGGTTTTTTTGCTGCAAGGCAAGCACCTACGACGTAGAGGTCTCCCAGCCAGAGCCAGAGGACCCTAAACCCGATTCCACTTCCGAAAGTGCCTGCAACTCAGGCTCAGCTAGGTGGAAAGGAGTCCTTCCAGCTCTGTTTCCTGTGCTAAGGCAAGCGCCCGCAAGGCGGTCCTCCTACCCGAGGTTGACGATAGCGATGTACAGGCAGAGGCCGTTTAAAACAGGTGCATCGCAGTCGTTGCCTGTTTCACTTTATCTGTTGCTCCTGCTTTTCGGGCCTGAATCTCCAGCATGTGCCGAGTTGGCTCAGAACACCGCAGCCATTGGCGGGTTTGGGCAGCAGCATGGTGCCATGGTGCATGTGCAGATGGCTGGAAGAGAGGCTGCTCGCAGCTGCCCTCCTAGTCCTGCTGGCGAGTGCTGCGGCCGGAGAAAAATGTGATCTAAATATCCCGCACAGGCCCAGGCAAGGGCAAACATTGAAACTTATAAAGCGCGACTGGGCCTCGCACCAGCTTGTCACGGAAGTCGCGGCTATTCTTCTGGAAGAGATTCTTATGTACGATGTTGTCCGCGTCAATCCGGACCTAGGCCCTGTTCATGATTTCAGAGCGATTTCTTTGGGGGAGGCGGACGCAAACTTCGAAGTTTGGCAGGGTGGTAAAGAGGCACAGATAGAGGAGTGGGTTCGACGTGGCGATGCTTTCGTGGCAAACTCTCACAGCACGGTTGCCGCCAGTGGCCTGTACACCTTGAAGCATACCGTGGACAGATATCCTGAAGCTGCCTTCTATCAATATTTGCAGACGCCCCGGCTTCAGTGGATATTTGCAAGACAAGAGGTTGCAGGCGAGGCTGCCGCTGATCCCAACGGCTTGTGCGCAGATCCAGAGTGGAATTGCACCAACTTCACATGGCAACCACCGGCATGCCGGGAACATACAATGCGCTGCTTGGGTCTGGTCTTCCATGACTACACGCACTACACACAAGGCATTGAGACTTCAGTGATTCGCGCTAAAGCAGACTTTGCACAATTCATACCATCCTCGCACAAACTTCAGCATCGAGCTCTATCTGTGAATCTTCAGGAGAGGCAAGTAATCATTACAAATCCTCCAGGATGCGCCAGTTCAAAACGGAAGGGCAACCCAGAGCACAATAGCTTCCAGAAGCATTTTCCTTCCTCAGAGGATCTGAAGCGCTTGATGCTTGAAGCCGAGAGTGTCTAGATGATAAGCAAAGCACAAAATAGACAAAATGTCTTCAAGTTAAGCTCCACATAATGAAATCCCAATCATCGCAAGTCTCATCTTCGAAAGATCTGCCACCGAAAGATTCGTCACCAAAGGGTTTACTGCCCAAAGGTTCGTCACCAAACGACGATTCACCCAGCAATTCGTCGTGGAAAGGTCGTCGTGCTGATAAGATGCGAATGATTAAGCTTCAGCCAGGCCTCCTGCAAGAAGGGGACGCAGTTGCAGGATCACCAGCTTGCACACACGTCTCCAGTCAATCCACACACTCAAGGGATTGATCCACAGCGATCTTTGCACAAGGCTCCTGAAGGCTGCATCGCTCAACATCCAATTTTGCTCCACGTTTATCTAGAACTGTCAAGACTGGAGGGGACATGCTCCAACATATGCAGGTATTCTTGAGCAGCAAATCGCCAACAATGCTTTGCCCCTGGCCGTGCAGTACCTGACGACCGTTTCCAAGGAAAGGGAGATATGGGAAGCTTATGCCTCTAAGCGCGACATCCTCTTCCAGCATCACTACCCAGATGCCGGTCCCTAGTCTTGCAATTGCACCAATCCACTCAAGGGCTTTGTGAGTATGAGCCCCTGGGCTTGTGTAGGCTTATTCCGTGGGCTCCTTAAGGCTTTATACTTATAGTATACGTATAAGGAGTGGATGGCATCCCCTCCAGCACCTTCGTGCCCATCCACTTCGCACCGAAGAAGTACGGCTGCAACTCCACGGAGACCCGCTTCCCTACCGGAGGTTTTGCGTGTCGCCTGGACGGGAAGCCGCTCCAGATCCTCGTGTCACCAAAAATCGAAGCGTCTCCGGATGCCATGCATTTCGCCTCGAGGTTTCGATTGGACGACAATGACTATGAGAAGCTGTTCCAAGCCTGGCGAGATGCGGACGGTGATGCGAAAGTGGCAGCTTGCAGGTGGCTGCAGCGTAAGGGGACCGCGAGATGGGGCAGCTGGATTAGGTTTAGCAAGCAGGTCCGCATGATTGAGAACTTTCCGCCAATGACCGGCTGCTTCCCAACGTTCTACCTTTTCCTACTCTTGTCATCTGGCAGATACAGAACGGGTTGGGATTCAGGTTCACGGCATTTAGCTGGTGGATTTCGAAGTCACAGCAGGAAGTGTGAGCGTGGCAGCCTTGCGGCTGTTTCTGTTATTGTTTTTCTTTGTCTGCCTGCCTGCCGCGTGTATGTGTGTATGTGTGTGTTTTCGTGTTAGGCTTGGGTATCCAGAGCAGCAGCTAAACAGGCAGCTTGTCTAGACTTGCACCTCAGGACGGTGGGATCGGCTTTCCTGTTCAAGTTGCCACGGATGCTGTGGACCTGCAAGAAGCGGTGTCGCCGGACTTGTCAGGCCCTCAATCCGAACTGGGAGCCGACGGACTTGTCGGACATTGACAGGCGTCAGAAAGATCGTGCCCTGTACACTCGGGCAGACTTCACCTCCAAATTGGTGGCCTGCAAGCACGTCCAGTTCGTGGAGGTAAAGATGGCACTTCTTAGAGGCTCCATGGGCTTTGCGAGCTTCTATCGTGATGAAGAGAACTTCTGCCTTGGCAACGGTGAGTCATGCATCCCACCGCCCGCTGGATCATGTTTCCGGCAGATGTACACCACGCCAATGCAGGTTCTGGTCTACATCATGACATCCGGGCTGATGCGGACAGCGTATAGTGCATTGACCTTTGCCTTTGCTACTGGAATGGTCGGGGCATTATTGGCTGAAGTCAGATCCACCATCGACAAGAACAAGCAAGTTGACCCAACTCTCCAAGACGAAGATTGGTACACGTTGTTCTTGATGAACATGCAGACAGTGGCATCAATCATGGACGATTTTAAGTTTCTGCCAACTTTCTTCATCACATACATGATAGGGCAGGATGTGACCCGATGGCTGAAGTGGCTTCAGACAATGTGGCTTAGCTTCACCCGGGAAGTTGCAGAGACGGATCACCACATAATTAGTCCCCCTAACCTTGATAGACAGATTGGGCTTTGGGTGTAAGGCTGAGTAGCAGGTGTAGTACCGTTGACATGTTGGAAGCTGGTGATATGCTGCTAAATTTGCGGGTCTCCGTGGATGATTTGCATGAGCATCGCGCCAGGTTCAGCATCCAGGGCCGACTACACGACCTTGGCTTGGTGATTGCAAGCTCGTACCGCAAGCTGAACGATCCATGTGTGGGAAAGCAGCAGCGGCAAATGCTTTTCAAATGGTACAGGTATCTCAATGCGATACACTACTTGGCTTATTTCAAGCTCGATCCGCGCATAGGAACTTCTCCCGACCAAGTTGTACAGGACATGTGAAAGTCGGCGGTTAAGCTTGAAGTGTTTCTGCACCGCTTCTGCCGTGAAGGTCTCTTCAAGGGGGGTGGGGGTTCTGCTTGACAGGACCTTCGGACTATGGGCTTGCTCGTGGACAGCGAGTGCTACCAGATACTTATGGCCAGTGCAAAGCTACGAGACACGCTCGTTTCCTGGCTTGGTATTCTGTGGCACGACGAGCTCGAGCGAGGCTTCGTTCAGGCCGTGGACTCGGATGTATTTATGCGAAAAGTTTGTGACCTGCGCGGTATCTTGGCTTCTCTCGCAGACATGCCAGACATGCAAACGTCAGGTCCTCAGTCTCTGGCACAAGGCACAGGCAGGCCTTCTGGCAGGATAAGTTTTTATCACATTCTGAGGAGCCAGCTGGTTCGGGTCATGATGGTGGTGGTTACGAACATCTTGCTGTCCCTGGCCTTGGTTGGTTATCCGACAAAGATGTACGAAGAGACCAAGCAGTGCTTCCAATTTTGGCCTCTGGTCGCTTCCTATTTGTACTACGTGTGCTACAGGGGCATGCTCCATGTTATGTTTACGTTGGACAAAGGGCCTTTCTATGGCAAAGGGGACTGTGTCAATGTAGATGCTCTTCTTGTCAGTACAGAGCGCTTCGCCTTCCATGTGTTCCGCACATCCTTCCAGACGTTGCCGTCTGAGTTCAGATACATTCGAAAGCACGACGAAATTCGCCCACTTAGAGAAGCTAAAGAACTCTGACTAATTCGGCCGCTCTGGCTTTCTGCACGAGTTATTAGTAAGGCTAGATGCTCCGTTCTGGCCACCAGATTTTTTCAGTTAGCAGCTAGCAGGCTTCTCTATGAACCCCTGCTTGTTTTGATAATGAAACCCAGCAACCGCTGGCTGCCGGAGGCAAGCGCGACGAGGCTAGCTGCGGCTAGCTGCATTTGAACAAATAGACACGACGAGATGCACGAGCATGATGTAAAGTTTCAGCGTCAACGAGGTGCCACTCGAGCTCATGTTGACCAGCTGATCTGCCGAATTCGAAGAGCCACGAGAGCCTCTTCGTGTAAATCTTCGAAAGGACTCGATTACAAAATGCTGCTTCAACTGTGCCTGATGGTTGTCACACCGATGGCCCGCAGCCAGATTCGCAGCAGTCTGCCGCATGGTCCTTTGCAGCCACCGGGGCTCATCAGGGAGGTGCCTCCCGCAGAGCCCCCGCATCTCCGCCTCAATGATGCGAGTCTGCGGCCCAGGGTTGGAGTCAGTTCAGGCATTCGGATTTCCTGCGAGCCTGCTGAGGCGCTGAGCTTGGTCTTTCTGGGGCATCTAGCTCTCCTCGAGGCCTGAAAGTATACGCAAAAGAAGGGCGTGGTCTTCTTATGGGAGCAGGCCAGCCCTGTGCTCCGGAGTGGCAGCTCCCTCAGTGGCGGTGGTGAAAAGAGAGCCCTGCCGTCCTGTTTCGGCATTCCAGGTCCATCCAAGCTGGCTTCCGAGGAGGAGGCGGGCCCACACCCTTGCTACGAAGTGCGAAACTCTTGAGCCTGTTTCTGAGGCAGCGGGATGGCTGGGCTTCCGCAGTCTCTACACCAAAATGGAGACCTCCATTGCTGGACTGTTTGGCGAGGCTCCCCACCAGGCACAAGAGGGGATTTGGGGTTCCGGGGCTGTGTCCCTAGATCATCCCCCACAAGGAGCACGAGGAAGTGCAGAAGGCCCAGGAGGATGCCAACGAGAAGCATGATTCTGGAGTCGTGGTAGAGACACGGGTTCTGTCTATCAACAACAACAAGACGTCTGCTGAGAAGCCCAGCATGAAGACGCTGGAAGCAGAGGGGGAGAGGAGGAACTTCACCGTCCACATGTTATCAAACGATGTGACGCCGAAGAAATCCTCAGCTCCGAAGGTGAAGATAGTTCCAGAACCGACCAAGGCTCCCAGCAAAGACGATTTCGTGGTCCACATCAAGTCTTTGGAGCGAGTGGATGGCAAGAAGCCTTTCCGGCGACAATCCAAGTCTCAGCGCACCACAACGCCTGCTGCTACGACAACAAAGGACAACGTCCAAATCAACGTGTGGACAGTTACCGATGCACCAGCTTCCAAAAGCGAAGTGAAGCCTTCGCGTTTAGAGTATGATAGCAGTCCATGGGCCAACGATTGGGGTGCAGAGCTGAGTGTTCCAACAGCAAACCCGAGCTTGATCCAACCCAAACTCAAAGCTTGAGGTGACGAGTGGAAAGCGGTGGCGGATGCTCCCAAAGAGCACAGAGCGAAGGACCAAGGGACCGAGCTGTCCTGTATAAGGCCCCTTCATTCCTGCTTGGGAGGAGCTGCCAGTCTACGAGCAATCCTTCCAAGGGTGACGACCCCAAGCGCTGACCTCTCCGACCTGGCTTTCTGAGATTCCATTGCGGAGTTCAGTTCTCCGAAGTTGAGAAGACTCTGATGCCCCGGCCCTTCACCGTAGACACTGTTCTTGCTGATCGTGTTGTGACCGGGGGATCCTGGCAAACACTCGCAAAACGGCGAGCTGCGCCCGTTGCAGTCTGCCTCCATGCTCACATGTGCTCATGTGTCCATACATGTCACGACGTTACGCATGCCCGGATCAAGCATGCTCCGGCGTGTTTTATGTTGGCAGTTTGTCACTGCATGGGCCAGCCAGCAGCTCTGGGGATCTCGACCGCAGGTGGCTTTCAAATACTTGGAAGCTTTGCAGCAGGGATCCTTCAGCTGTTTTGACGGATCTGCGGTTCTACAAGCCGATGCTGTGAATGACGACTTCTGCGATTGTGCAGACGGATCCGATGAACCTGGGACGCCTGCCTGTGCTGGTGTAGGCCTTTTCTATTGTAGCAATGTAGAGTCCATCCCAAAGCTCATCTACTCGTCGCATGTTGCCGACGGCATCTGCGATTGTTGTGATGGATCCGACGAGCGGTCTTCAAGTTGCCCGAACACCTGCAGCCTCGAGGGGCCTGTGCTTCTAGCTCAGCAGCAACTTGGCATCCTTGAAGCACCTGCTTTAGGGTCCTTATAATAAGGATCCTACTTTTTGGGGTACTATATTCGGGTCCCCTATTTCCGGAAAGCCCCATGTAGCAAGGCCTCAGCGTGGTAGGGGCAGCCGCTCCCAAACTCGTGTGCTGTGCGAGAGGCAGGCACTGAGAGCAGATCGCCACCGGGGCCGAGAACTTCGTCGAAGTGGTGAAGCGGAGGCCTTGAAGCAGGCACTCGGCCGGAAGATTTGCGCTGTGGGTTTCTGTCCTGCCCTTCTGCTGGGCTCTGAAAGTACGTTCAATCTACCGTGATCCATGCGTGACAGGGCATCGCTAGTAGTAGTAGTAGTAGTAGTAGTAGTAGCAGCAGCAGTAGCAGCAGTAGTAGCAGTAGTAGCAGTAGTAGCAGTAGCACTGGCATTGGAACTGGTACAAGTACTGGTACTAGTACCTGTAACTTAGTATTGGAAGGTTCTTTTCCTAACAAAAGGGAAGAGCAGTTGAACAGAGGAGATACAAGCTACGCAGAAACTGGAACAAACACAGGAAAGCTGACCCTACATACGGCTAAAGAACGGCTGAGAAAAGCTACATTCGCACAGGCTGAACAGCAGGCGGATGCGAAGACGAGCATCTGCCGGTTGATTTGTGTTTTGTTCTGAGACTTTTCCTAGGAGGAAGGACAACGGGACTGCAGGAACTCCCCGCTCCATACCAGCCCTGGGGCTGCATGGGCTGAGAAAAGTCTGCTGTATCTCTATTCTAGCCAAGAAGATGCTTGTCTTCGCATGTGCCGGCCGCTCAACCTTTGTATATGTAGCTTTATCTAAGTTTTTTGTTTCAGCTTTTTTGAGCTTTTTTGGGCTTTTACGTTACGGCGATTGCCTTTCGGTCAGCTTTTCGACAGCTTTGTATCTAACCGATAGCCAGCTTTCTCTCCTAGTGTTGATCTGATAGAGGAGTGGTCACGGTGAGAGTGGTCATGGTTGTGGTATTAGTGATGGCTATAGGCATCGTCATTGTCGTCGAAGAGTCGTCTGGGCTCAAAGATCGAGTGCCGAAAGGGGCGCCACTCGGACCGGTAGAGGGCTGCCGGTACTAAGCCTCGATCGAGGTAGTGGTGCCATGTCGCAGTCCTCTGGGACACTGCTCAATGATTTCATCGAAGGGGTGCAACAATGGCCAGGACCTCTCCTATCCATTGAGAATGTCTTGTTTGCTGCCTTTTGTGGGACGATATGCCAAACTGAAGGTAGGTTTGCGCTGGGGTAGGTCGGGCTAATGGCCAATCGCGTCCATGGAGGAAGTCTCCGCGCTATGTTTTCAGGGCCACGCCCTGAATGACGCACTCAACCACGTAATGGTCGATCGAGATTTGTTCCGCGAACCTCCTGGTGGAGAAGCCCAAGCTGGTCAAGACTGAGGCCAAGCCCTTGCTGAAGCGCCTCCAGCCGTCAGGGGTCAAGAAAAGACGGACAGGCTAGTGCTGGGGCTGGATCGAGGGCCGTAGCCAAGATCCCGATTGCAAGTTCAAGCATGCGTGCTCTGTTTGCGGTTTTGCTTCACACCATTCTGGGCAGTGTGGGAACAGGGCCAAGCCCCTCAGGTGACTAGGCCCGCCGTCTGTTGACGGTGAGGAAGAGCATTGTGCCTCTGGTCAGCCTGTGCGGCGTCGTGATGGTGGAGGTGTGGGATCCGATGCAGGTTGGTTCTCACCACGGGCGCCTGACCTGTTGGGGGCCTTGCGGCGACAGTGGTTGCAGCGGGTTAAAAGTGGGGTCTGGTGCAGCGGCTACGAGATGCGAACTTGAGCAAATCCAAAACTCCTTGGCTGTGTGAAGAGGAGATTCTTGGCTGCGTAGCGATCTGGTGTCTTTTCTGAGAAGTCATGGTTTTGATTGCTCGGACCGCATTGAGGATGGCCAGCCTTGGCCTTTGACTTGTGGGGAGCTCTTTTCAAGCTCACCAATGACGTTGATGTTGTGCTCTCAACATTGCTGCGTCGGGGAGTGCCGACAGGCATTCTGCAGACCATACCCCCTTCCTGTGTCTGGAGAAAAGTTGAGGTTGCCGAGAGACCTGACGTGGAACTTCGCGTGTTTGATCTGCCTTGGGGTTCTGCGATGTTCTGCGCTCGATGATCCCGAAACAGTATGTCAGTTCAACTGATGTGCAAGCTGGTTTTGCGACCTGGCTGCATGGCGGCCTAGAAGAGGGCAGGAATTTGTTTGGCAAGCATTGTGCAGCAGGCCGTCTAGGCGTTGTGAAAAAGGCAGGTGCGGAGCCCCGACTGGTTGGAGACAGCACTGTGTCCCAAGCCAACATTTTATGCCGCGTGTCCGAGAAAGTGGAGTTGCCATCTTTAGAGGATGTGATCCAGGCACCAGGAGGAAGACTGGGTTGCTTTCCTGCTGGATGTGAAGACTGCACATAAACGCGTAAAGGTAGCACCAGAGGAGAGAGGATTTTCGATATTCGCGGTGTTGGATGCCAGTGGGAAGAGGAAGTGGGTCGTCTACAGCACCTGCCACTTTGGCTGCAGCTGGGCAGCTTATTGGTGGAGCAGAGTGGCGGCGGGTTTCGTGAGGCTGAGCCATCGTCTTCTATACCACTCCCATTTCGGGTCCATCTTTGTCGATGAGGAGTTGTCTTTGTTTCCTGCACAGGATGCACCTCTTATGGCCTGCTTGCAAGTCATGCTGGCAGTGGGCCTTGGTGTGCCCCTGTCCTGGCACAAGCTGGCGCTTGGT